AGAATTGTTACTTGCAAAATGTCATACTTTGCTTTTTCTTTGAATTAATTTTTATTCATTTATATCAACTCCAGGAAAGCTTAGAAGGATCCACGAATTAGAAGTAATATTCTAGAGAAGCTTCCATTTATTCTGCTCAGGACAGGTTTCCTTTACTTTTCAAAGAGGAGGCTGAAACTCAGGCACCAATGTCTGCCACCTCAGGTTTCCTTCTGCCCTCAGCTTTTGGATTTTCAAATTAGAAAGATTTTCTCTCTGACAAGTCTGATGGAGTTTCCTATCCAGCTTATCAGTTAGGAAGATTATCAGAAAATAAAACAAGCAAATGAAGCAGGTCTAACAAGAAAGGAAAAACCATGTTTACAGAGAGAGGGTTCCCGGCGGGGACCTGGGTCACTGAATGAATGAGCTGCAGGGGGCCACACAAAGGTATCAGGTTTGGGATGAGAATGAAGATGAGAGGATACGAACAGGTGGAGAGGAGACTCGGTTCTTGAAAGAGAAGAGGAGGAGGAGGAGGAATCTGACACTAAAAAAGTGAAAGAGAAAAAAAAGAATAAAGGCAAAAAAACCTTTAGAAACACAAAGAAAAAAAATAAACTAGCTTTTCATATACTCACATAAGCTGCAAAGAAAATGAGGTCATATAATACACAATCATTCTTTTACTTGACAATAAAATACAAGTGCTTTTCGAAGAAAACAAATTTGTTTTTCCACTGGTTATTTAATTGTTCTGCAACAACACCATGGAATAAAAATAACTCAGATTTACCTGGGCACAGATTCAGCAGTGTGATCCATGGAAAATAATACAGCTTTAACCTACAATATCCAGAACATTCTAGAGGAAACTATTTGCTTTTCAACTGGAAAGGGATAGAGCCTGACTTTTCATAGATTTGTTTTTTTATGAGAAGCACTTATAAAAGTTCATTTGAAAACTATGGTTTTCAGAGGTGCAGTGTGCTAAGGTGCAACGATATGTCACAGTCCCAGCATTGTGACAATGGAGTGCTAAGCCGTCTAAGGTGGTCTATGGTTGGGTGCACTGGTCGGCACTTTGAACAGGAAACTGGTACTGCCACCTTCATGTCTTATAGCTGGAGACACACATGGCAATGGCGAGACCACCACAGCTGAAAGCCGAAATTTTCCCACACAAAGTGGATCAAACTTTCAAGTTAAAAGAATTGTTTTGCTTTGGACAGGTATATGGTAATATCTACCAACGATTAGAGATAAATCCCCTGACCCCACATCCTGTTTTGAGGGCAAAAGAAAAATATTTTTTCATCCTCTATTTAAGGAACTACCAGTTTATTCCAAAGAAAAATGGTAATATCTACCAACGATTAGAGATAAATCCCCTGACCCCACATCCTGTTTTGAAGGCAAAAGAAAAATATTTTTTCATCCTCTATTTAAGGAACTACCAGTTTATTCCAAAGAAAAGACAATGACTCATAGCTTCAAACTAAAGACTGTCATTCCATTTGATTCCTCTTTTTCGCTGGCTGGGACCTGTTAGATGATAGAAGTGGGGTGAAGAGAAGCCAGAGGTGGTATCAGAAAATCATGCTTGGTAAGGGGGGCTTTTTCAGCTTGACACATCCATTAAACAAAACAAAATCCCACTCTATTAGCTATAGTGGACTTGGCGAGTCCAAAGCTTATAGACGTGGGTCCTCATCATGTTATTCTACAGATCTGCATATGGACAGTTTCGGAGGTGGAAAGCCACTTCCAAAGCGGTCACTGAGCCTGCATTATGTAATGACCCAGGATGTATAATAATGGTATTGTGGTTACGTTTTTTTGAAGTTCTTATCTGTTAGACATACACGCTGAAAAGTTAACAGGCAAAATATGATGTCTGGGATTTGCCTTGAAATACTCTACAAAAACCCAATGTGGGACAGGCGGAATAGGTAAAACAATACTAACTGTTGAAGCTTGGTGGTAAGTAATGGGAATTCATTACATTAGTATCTCTACTCTGGCATATTTGAAAATTTCCCGTAATAGAAATAAAAAATAAAAGGAAAATAAATTTAGTTCTGGGGAAAAAACACAACAAAACTGATCCAAGAGATCTCTACTCTGGCATATTTGAAATTTTCTCGTAATAGAAATAAAAAAATAAAAGGAAAATAAATTTAGTTCTGGGGAAAAAACACAACAAAACTGATCCAAGAGGACCTGTAGCCTCTCAAGGGAGTCTTTCTGCACAGTGGGTGATTCTGGGTCCTGGGCCCCAGAGCTGGCATGATCACGACAGTGAAAGTTCACCATCACTTTGGCCATGCACCTTACTGATGCCAGCACTGTGGCTTTTGCTCGTGTCAGATGCCTGTGCCCTTTAAAGGGGATTTAGAAAAGCAGTTAAGCATCGGGCATGGCATGGACCAGTGCTGTCAATATGCTGCCACCTGCCAGGGCTGGGTTCTCCCAGCCATATCTGATTGCAGTCACTTCTATTTGATTTGGAATCATTCTGAATTTGGATAAGATCCATTTCTCTTTTTCTCTATAGCCCAGTTGCTTTTCTAAACGAGCAGTACTGCAGTGGATGTTCAAAATTAGCCGGCCTCCTTTAGCACCACATGGACTGAAAACCATGGTAAAGGGAAGAAAAATGGCTGAGATCATGCTGGATAGAGAAGAATCCTGAACGTAAGATATGTGGGTCATAGAAAACTACATAGCTGTAAAAAAGAATAAGGAAATTCTTCATGAATGGATATAGAGGCATTCTCAGGATATGCTGTGGAGTGGAAAATGTCAGGTGCTAAGCAGCATACATAGCATGTGATTGTTTATGTAAGCGGGAAATAATATGTATGCTTATTTGCATAAAAAACACTGGAAGCATAAATAAAAAGCTAATAAAAATGGTTACCTTTAGGGAAAGATAAGATGGAGGGGAAATAGAAGCAAAACTTCTCTGTGGCACTTTTTGAATTAGAATTTTGGCTTCTGAATTATGTAAATATATTTCTTCTTACAATGAAATCAAGCTGAGAGAAATAAACACAGTCTGTGGGTCATTCACAGGCAGGCCATCCACACAGGCATGTGAATAAGAACATGTTGCTCCTCCTGTGATTGTGCCACAAGCTGAACTACATAAAATTGTGCTTTATTCATCAAGATGGAGGCATCTTTTCCACTTTTGGGCACACATTCCCAATTTTTAAGTGTCTTTGATTTGCACTGTCATTTCAGAATGTTTTACCCTCATCTTCGAATAGTCTGCAAGTGAGAAGGCCTCCTAACACGGCTTCCATTTTTCTGATTCCCTGGTCTCTTAGTTAAATTGATGGTGTGCAAACCAACATTTTACAGCTCTGGGGGCAGGGCTGGTGAATGGAGTCTTGGAGGCATTCCTGTGGACAGCACAATAACAACAACAGAATAGTCACTGGCCGGTGTCTGGGAGGTTGTGCTTTCCCGTTGTTCAGGAAGGGCATAGAAACCAGCAGCCCAGACTCCAAACACGGGCTTCCAAGGAGTGAGTGGGATTCTCCTGAGAGAATGTACCAATACCACTAAGGCAAAGGGGGAGGAGGAAGAAGGGGCTGGGACCGACCTGTGGGCAGTGATCCTCTAGACTGTGCCACATAGACATACCTCTCCTGGACATCGTGGCACTGAGATTTATACTGAAGAGGGAGACTCCTGAGGGCTCTAAGGAAAATATCCCAGGGGGCAAAAGGGAGAATGAGTAACAAGGGCCTCACTTATTATCTGCCACTACCTGTTTTCAATGTGATGCAGCACTGAAGTCTTGGGACCTTCAGGGAAATTAAGGTCCAAGCCAGCTGGAAGGAAAGTGTGTCTGAATTTAGTATGACTATCCTCACAGGATACTGAGGAGGGGCAAAGAGGGATGACAGCCCTGGACAGCTGCAGCAGCTGTTTTGAGTCAGCCACAATTGCTGGAGGACCACAGTGAGCTTCATCTCCTTCTCTCCTTGTGTCTGAGCCTCACCTTGCAGTGGCTGGTCCTGAGAGCCTGACCTTTCCGTTCCTAAAATGAGAGGGGTTAGACAGGTCCCTCTAGTGGGACTGGGCCCATGAGACAGAACTCTGCTGTGCTATTCCCGAGGACGATCCCTCCCATCCCACCTGCGATAGGTGTTCCAGGGGATGGGCTCTGTCCACAGCTGAAATGTGGTACAAGGCCACACAAAGGACCCTGCAGTTTCTATCATGAAGCCAGCCCATAAAAGGCCAGGCATACCCAAATAGGAATTAAGCCTTACAGGGCCCCCTGCGGATGGGGGAGAGGCAGAAGAAGCAGGTTCCAAATGATGCTCTAGATCTACCTTTGAAGCTCAAGGCAGAGTGAATCATTATGTTTTGTGGGTCTGTTGAGTCCCCCAAATTGTCACTGACTAGTCGGTATTACTGTTGGAACTACTTGTTTGGAGTTGTGGAAATTATGGAGGTAATTCCATTTTCTTACTCCCCTGTATTTAGGCAAATGAGGAATACACAAATGAAGAACTGTGAGTATTTGCTCAGGGGTAGTGAGTGCTATAGGCCTTGACATGGGGACGGTGGAATCAGAAGCTCAGAACCCGCCTGCCACCCTTCAGGGTCTTTTAGCTGGTTTTATGTGTTATATGTGCAACTGATCAGAAATCAAAACCTTGATTTCAGCAAGGTCTGAAAGCTCAAGAGAGGGAGAAGCAGTAAAGCAGAGTGGAAATCTGAGGGGGATGGAAACCACCTAATTTTAGGTTCAAATTTTAAGCTCTAAGAGCAAGGGGAAAAAAGGATTTCAGAGTTGTGCTGGGCAAATAATATTACTTCCCCCACTGTGAACAAACACTTGGGAAAGATCCTGGAGGAAATGCATCTCAACTGAGTGTTCAGCTCTTTGCGTGAGGAATCCTTCCCACCCTCATCCCTGGCAGCCTCGCCAACATCACTCAGGGCCAGGCCCTGTGCTCCTTGACACCACATCATCCCCTCTGGCTTTTCATTCTCACCTGTCTCAGGATCACTGAAGTCTGGCAAAGTAATTGTATTAAGCTGTCGTCTGTCAGCAATGGTTCTATCTAAGAGGCTGCTCCCACGTCCAGAATCACTGCAAAACACAGCTACAAATGTCAGTCATTGGAAAGGTGGGAAGGGGGAAGGAAACAATCAACCAATACGAACTGCTGAGATGCAATGAATACCTTTGCTGTTTCTGAGGTTCTTCAGTGTCTTTCCACATATTGAGGAGGCATCCTGTTTCCTGGTTCGGCCTGGGTTGGAATTCCTTTCAACATTCAATATCACAAACGGCTTCAACCACACCCACAGATCCTTGCTAATTTTAGCCTTTTTTGTGCATTATAAAATAGAAAAAATAGAAACTTCATGCCAGGTTCTCCATCCGTCTTACAGGGAGAAACTGATTGGCATTCTGTGCTGTGAAGCTTAGAACTCATAGAGTGAGAACACACCATGCTCCGAGGTGTCTTCTGAAACTATACTCTACATGCGAGGCATTTCTTAAAAACACTGCCTAGGTCCCACTCCAGACCAAATAAACCAGTATTTCTGGGGCAGTCAAGCTTCCCAGATGGTCCTAAGATGCAGCTGCCGGATTCAAGGACCCCTGGCCCCTACTTTTCAGAGGGTAATCACAGTCATGGCTTTGTTTGGGTCTCCAGAACAAGTCTTTGAGATAAATCACATGGTTAATATTCCTATTTAAAAGGTAAGAAAAAGAAGGTGGTGTGAGGTGACACAAGAAGCTGGTCACAGAGCTGGAGCTGCAGGTCTGTCCAGCGTTTCCCTAGCTGGAGAAGGCTGGTCCATAGGGACTTGGAGAGAATGCAGCAGGGTTTTGGTGCAAGCTTCCAGACCAACACTCCACCCAGCTTCCTGCACTGCCCAATTTAGTGAAGCCCTCCCGCAGCTTGTGCCTACAAAACAGGCTTGGCGCCATTCATCTGGCAATGTCACATGGAAGACCACGATAGGCCTAACTGGGAATGAAGCAGTAAAGGGACCTTACTCATACAGACTTTTTTTTTTTTGATCCTAACACGGCTGTGAGTTAAAACTATTGCTATTTTTCTCTATTATGATATTTTGTCAAAGCAGCTCCCAAAAGAATCATTTCTCTCTCTTGAGATTTGAATCTTTAATTTCACTTTTTTTTTCAATCTAGGGCTCTAGGAGTGATTTTGTTGTTAAGAAGTTCAAATTCTACAATAACAGGACACAATTTCCTTCCTCTATGCAGCTGCTGCTAAAAGCAGTACAAACAAGATTTGGTATAAAACTTAATATGGTTTACAGGCTGCAATTTCCACATCCAGTGATGTAGTTAGAGTAATACACAGGAAGGAGAAGGAAACTTCCTTCAGTACAGACTATTTGACAGCCTATACTTATTACCTCTTCCCATACACATTTTTCGGAAACTGCTCTATCAATTATTTCCACAACTGAGAAACAATACATGTCTCTGAGCAGAAGGCAACATAAAAGTACATGCAAATTTTCATTAATTACTATATCGACTGAATATTTCTAGCTCTGGTCTGTTCATGCAGCATTTCAACATGAATATTACAAATGTAATAAAACATTACAAATTATCTGAATAGTGCAATGGCTTCCCCCTTAGGAGATTGTCAAAAAATTTATCTCAAAATACAGTGGTATTTGTCATCACCTTAGGGATTCCAGGACCCAAAACGAGGTGTTGGCTTTGCACAGGAAGGATTTGCCTGGGTTTTCAATGGACCAAATCTGAGGTTTGTTTCAACCATAATCCTCCAGGCTTTCCATCTCACCAGATTTCAGAGTGCAGGCTTGGCTGCCACGTGAGGTGTTTTGGGAAGGACCCAGGAACTAGGGTCCTGGAACCCAGCTGTGGGTCTGGGTTCCCATCACACATCTGTCACTAATGAGTAGGTAACTGTGGGGAAGGACACTTTCCCTGTGCTTCAGTGACTTCCCTCATCATATGAAGATAAGTATTATCTTTCCACACATAACTGTGCAAGAGGAAATGAGGTCATGTAGATGGAGCATTCTGAAGAGTGACAACTCCTAGGTACATGCCAGGTGTCGTCATGAATGCACATACCTGGGGTTAACACAACTGGCTAATTCCCAAAGGCAACTTATTCCTAATCTTCTGGTGCAGTTGTAGGAAGCACGGGGAAACTGAGTGAAGACCCTCCTACTCCAAATGTTAGAAACCCCAACTAAAACCATAACCTTAATTTGTGAAACACACACTGAGAACAACACAGGATCCATTTCCCTTCCAGGAGCTGAGAAGCTACATTCTACTACATTCTTTAGTTTGCCTTCCATAGATCCTTTTGAAAAATGTATAAACAACAATTAACTACACAAAATGGAGATGCTTTTGTTTCCACACTGAATGTTTTCTCTCTAAAAATAATTAGGTATTTGTGACTGATTGAGAATTTTGCAGGATGCTTCAAGCAATTTTTAGTTCTTCACTTACACGGTACAGAGTCTTAACCAACCAGATTTGCCTTTGCTATGACCCACAGAATGAGGAGAAAAGGATAAAGGGAGGCCTTGGCCAACCCTCGAGTCTCCTTCACTCTCACTCCATCCAGCCTCTCCCATGCAAGCTTGAAAGTGGACTTCCTCTCTCCCTCTGGCATGCTGCCTGCTCAGGCAGCTCCGCAGACCACCCATTCCCTGCTCACAGCCCAGTCACCTCTCCTCTTCTCTGAGTGGCCCCTAGGCTGCCAGGGGTACCTCCAAAGGAAGATGGCAGGAAGGCAGAGAAAAGCAGTCCTGGTCAGTGGCACTAGCAGAGGGCTAAGGGACAGGAAGCTGGAAGGACCCCCAAATCCATGGCACATAACCTAGAGATGTCCACACAGACAGATGTACATACACATCCAGGGAATTTCTCTTCCTCATTGGGACTGAACATTCAGAATAAGTTGTAATGACGGTTAAAGTTATACTGGAAATTGGAATCTTCTCCTGGAAATCCTCTATCTTTCACAGCCACACAGAAGTTAGACACAACAAGCAAGGAGGTGGTGATGGGCTAGGAGTCAGAACCCTGGAGTTCTTGTCCCGCCTTTGCCTCTTCCCAGCTCCTGGAATAGTGCCTGACACACAGTAAATATTGGATCTAAGAGAGGGGCCTGCACAGGAAACCAGAGCAGGGGCAGATGGCAGAGGAACTCCTGTTTTTCCCCAGGCCTAACAGGCAAATTCCCAAGATCCCTGAGCCTCAATTTTCTCATCAATAAAATTAGTATAACATGGGATTTGCCCATTTTATAGAGCTGCTTCGAAGATGAAATGAGAGCATGTAAAAAAGAAAAGCTCCCCCAAATGCTGGTGACTGTTAGCATAAAATGGGGTCTCCAACTTCCAAATGAGGTTAAAGCAAGGAAAACGTGTGTGTGTGTGTGTGTGTGTGAACTTTAAATGCTGGTAAGTGATTAAAATAGGACTTGGGAAGAAAAAGTTTTCTTCCATTCACCTGGAGATGTCAACTCATGGCTACATGATGGAGATGGTTCAAGTTGCAGTGTCATGAGGGGGAAAGATGTGGTTAACAATAAAAAAGAAAAAGAAACTGGTTGTCAACTCAAGAGAGGCGCATGCTGTCATGGAGAGAGCTTTGATGTTAGACCTAGTTTTGAATCACAGTTCTACTACTTACTTAATTGGGAAAACTTAGGCAAGTTATTTAGCCTCCTTTAGCTTCAATTTTATTTTCTATAAAATGGAAACAACAGTAGCGATCTTGCAAGGCTACTGCAGGGACTGAAGATAACATATAAATGGCCTAGAACAGAGAAGTTTCAATAAATGTGGTTATTACCACCCCTAGCTGAAATGCTGTGAGATTCAGTTCAGGAAGCCTGCTGGGACCTTCTGGTGAGATTCTGGTCAGAATTCACACTGTCTTGAGTGGCCAAGAACTGAGGGATCTTTATATCTTACCAAGAGAGAGAAGATAAAACATGATACATATTTCTATCCTAACTGCAAGCAAAACTGCAGACCTAGGGAAATATAATCCAGGCTTTTGAAATGACAAACACCTCACCAAATGTACACTCAAAAGAACGCCTCCCACCATTTTGCTCACAGCAAGAAATGCATTCTCCAAGTGCAGGTGGAACACTATTTGCAAGTTTTCTAAGGCTCAGTTCAGCGACTAGCTCATAGTGGGATTTTCCCCTCAAGCAAAAATAAAGAGGGAGTGAGCTGTGGCGAACATGAAGCTGAGTCTATTCTCAATTTGGCCACTCACTCCCTGTTACTCCCACATCTTCCTCTGCCCTAGAGGGCTGTGCTGAGCCTCAGGATGGATTTGGAAGGGGGTGTGGAAGACTGGGAAACCTGGGCAGGTGGAACAAAGGGCCCACCACAACTGAGCATGCTCAGAAACAGGGGCACCTTGAGCCAGCAAGCCTGCAAGGGTCTACTCCAGGTGGAAACTAACTGCTTTCTGCTGAAATGCTTTCTGCTTGGTTTTCATTTTATCTTATTTTTAAGAAGGGGTGCTTCTCACATGCCTGTTCATGCGTTTCTGTTCCTGGATGACCCGAGGGTAGACTGTAGGCTGTTGGAGCCACCGGTGCCCTCGAATGGAGAGCTGCGAGGTGCTGACCCTGTCAAGACCCCAGCCCTTCCTTCTTCGTGCTTTATTCTCTTGCTAGGGTCACATCTTACCCGAGCAGACTGGGTAGGATGTCTACAATTGCACAATGGCAAGGGATATGTTTATTTATATCTCAGAGAAAATAAAGTTTAAAAAAAACAACAGGAAGCTCCTTAATCAGGGGCTGCTCGATTCACCACCCCTCCCTCAAGGTTTTGGGAGTAGCTGGAGGGAGCAATTCAGAGCAACTAGTGGGCACTGTCCACCCACCCCCGAAGCCCCACCCAGCTCTGCCCAGAGCCAGGGTTCCTCCCTGCTCTGGCCCTGAAAGACACTTCAGGAAACAGAGGAAGTGTGGACACAGCCCAGGCAGTTGGTTCAGTATTTTTAAAAAGCTTTCCAATTCTGCTATTTTTTTCTCCTCACATTCAATATTCTTGGTTGCTAAGTGGGAGGAAATGTGGGGAGGTGGGAGAGGTGTGGAGAACTGAGGGAAAATTGGCAACCTGCAAGCTGATGGATTTATTTTCTCATTTCTAAAGGGGGTACAGGAAAGCAACGTGCTCCAGTACTGAAGCAACCAGCCTGGGCAGTATCTCCTGTTAGCTGGGTCATGCGGCAAACACTCTCCCCTGAATCCTGCTGCTACGGATAGGCCAGGAGGGGGGCCTTTGGGGGAAGATAAATACGGGCATTTTCTCCTTTTGCTTACAAGATTTAGAAAAGTTGAATTTTTTTTTTAATTAGAATGATTTTTATTTTCAGAGCATACCCATGAAAGGTAAGAGGCCAGTCTCATGATTACCTTCCACCAAGGGGAAGGGGGAGCCCTGGGCAGCACAGTGACCTGCCACAGGTGGTGGTTATGAAGGGGTCTCTTGTCTACATCTTGCAGGAGGTCGTGTGGCTCGCTGCAGGGCGTGGGAAGGACAGTGGGCTGGCTTTCCAAGCTGAGCTCCCTCCCTTCTAGCTGCACTGCCCACAGGGCCTGAGGTCATAGGTCTGTCTAATGTCAGTTCACACGGGCAGGTCCCCTTAACAGGGCCCTGATTTTGAGCACTTTTTGTTTTAACTGTAGAAACTTTTGTAAAACAAAATCTCACATGGAAGGGTTCTGCTGCCTCCCTAACACCCATCCCTCCCTTTCCTCCCTGCAGGTCTGCAGACCGCGGCCCCCAGAAACCACACTCTGTACTCATGATTTGAGTTACACATTTTTAGGCTCCTGACTCTTAAGAGCATAATGTGGACTGTGCATACACCTTGCTATGAACATGAAAAATATTCTGAGTGTATGAATAGTTGTATGAATTCATTTGAATCATTAGGTCCCTTTGCACTAAATGACTTCCTTCACTTAGTACCTTAAACATACACCAGGAAAAATCATCCAAGCTGTGGAAATGGGCAAATAGGTTATTGGGTGGCTGTCAGTGAAATGCTGGGAGTGGACTAGTTGACGTTTCCTGGAGTATCTGACTCTAAAGGGGTGAGCACCTTTGACTGACTTCCTATTGCCTAGGCTAATTGACAGCTCTATAGGGGCAGAAACCAACCTGTAGAAAACTGGAGAGTAAGGCAAGTGAATTTTGTCAGGTAGAGATACAATTTATTTCTACCCTGTAGAAAGGACAGCCCCAGACAATATATTTCATGGCTTTACGGGATACTGTTTTGCATCCATGTGCAAATTCATTTGAGCGTTCCTGCCTATACTTATCTGTTTTTCAAATTCTTCTTTGAATGGGTCTTAATAGTTTACTGTTTCCCTCATTAGTTAATGAGGTAAATAAATCGACATGTGTTCATTTTATATTCGTACGAGTCACAATTTTATTTGTATTTATTTATTTTTTTTTGGTGGCTGGCCAGTATGGAAATCTGAACCCTTAGACCTTGGTGTTATAACACTGTGCTCTAACCAACTGAGCTAACCAGCCGGCCCCATTTTTAACTTTTTGAAAATTACACTTTATCATGCCAATAGCACTTTCCCCTCACCTTAGTAGGATGCAATCTTTGTCTATGCAGGTCTTTTAAATATTACTGCAAGACCCCATCTGGAATACATGATTGATTAGTCTATACATAAGTTACCAGAAAGATGATAAGACTTATGAAAGGAATTAAGGCTGGTACAGAGAGAAATCAGAGATCAATTATAAATTGAACCTGATGGGTTGCAGTGGCAGCAAAAGTAAAAGAAACCCATGATTTAAAGGCTTCATCAACCACTGGGAGAAAAGCCCCTGAAAAATGGAGTGTGAAGCCACATTGCTATTATCTGCCACTTGTGAGGACCTGGAGGGGCACAGGAGTGACAGAGTTAATGCCTGCTAAGTGCCAATCAAAGGTGGCACTGGTAGGCAGGGACTCATGCAAAAATCATGCAAAACAGGCACTGCTGGCCTCTTACCTAGGGTTGGTTAGGTTGTAACAGGATTTCCATATTTGTAACATGTGCTTACAAGTGAGCAGCGCTTCATCCGGGCCGCGGCAGAGGGACTCCAACTTCACTTTGGAAAACAGTAGTCTACGGTGGGAGACAAAGGGAGAAAATGACACAGCTCAAGCCAGAGTGCCCACCCAAACAAAACAAAGTGTTGGGCTGAGACCCTGCAGCAACCGTACTCAGACTGGGGATGGCCCCGTGCATGGTCCAAGGGCAGCAGCGGCAGCAGGGCCAAGGACTCCAGAACTCCCAGTTCAATGATGGCTCTGCCTAAGTCTCACCACTAAGGCAAATGCAAGCACAACACAACTATTCGTTGTCAGGTTAAAAGTATTAGAGCGGCCAATTTTACTCAGAACACAGGAATTTTGTTAAGAGCCTATAGATAACTTTCCATGATGATGCTCATCAACTCCAAGCTTTGAAACGCCTGAACTCTCAGGCCCTCTGCTCCTTGATCTTCCCAAGTCCTGCTATTAAGGGGCTAGGACTTCACCAACTCACTCCACAATAACCAAAGTATCTCTTCTCTATTTTTGTTACCACCAACAACTTCACCCTCCATCCAGACCTTCTGGGTACCAAGCTTAGAAACTTCTCTGTTCCTTGGCCCCTCAGAGTTATCCCTTCCCAGGTTCTACTTATGTCTCCCTGTGGACATCAGCTCTCTTACTCCCTAGACTCATCACCAATATTCTAGCTCAAGTCTCAGCATAAGCCCACATTCTTTCCTGATGGTCTCCTGACTTGCCTAGCTCTCAGAAATCTTATTATAAAGATCTCCAAAAATCATATTCATTCCCAGCTCAAGACACTGCAGTGGCTCCTTACTGTCTGTGATAAGAAGTAGAAGTCTTTGCCCAGTCCTTTGAGGCTCTGCACCCACCAGCCACTCTTCTGTCACCATCCCGCCCCATGCTGCACATCCTATTGGACTCTTTATTCCTACAATGTAATGCACCAGCCAAATGCTACAATTCTGTCACAACTCTATGACTACATATGCCATGTCCCGTCCTAATCTTAATCTCTATTAATCCACGTCTCTCTTTGATTCTTCCCAAATCCAGCTAAACCCTACCTCATCAAATAAGTCTCCCATCAATGCCACTTTTACACCTTCATCTTTTCTACTCAGTGTGACCATATTAGCTGGTGTTTTTCATGAGTTATAAGAAAGAGAAGAAAAAGCCAGGGAGAGCTCCTGTTTATTAAAGGCCTCCCATGTGCCAGGCCCTGTGTTCGGCACTTTACAAACACTAGCAACGTCAACTCTGTAAAAACCCTTCTCTGCAGGTGGTGTTTATCACTCTTCAACAGATAAGGAAACTGAGGCTTCAAAACAGCACCCTTTGGTGGTTTTCTGGATGTGATTTTCTTCTTGATAGTGAGAGCCCTGGCGTCTCTCTCTCTCTCTCCTGCCTCATCTCCACAGAGGTCCTAGAATTGTGCTCTGAGTTCAATGGGCCTTAAATCAGCATTTGCTCACTGACTACTTTCTCCGTAAACCATGGAAGAGAAAGAAAGGTGTTTCTAGTGAATTGAGTTAGACACACAGAATTGTTCATCCACACATGATGTAATGTCCTCATTCAAAGGTCCTTAGAGGAGGGACGTCTCTTTTTCCTCTGTGATAGATGGAATGAGAGTAGTCCTCTCCTGTCACTGCCCAGCGTCAGGAATGGGTGAGCACCAACCAGCCCCTCCAAATGGAACAAAGGAAGCCCAAGGGGGTGCTGGCGGCTCCTGGTGGGGTCAGGGCTGCAGCCTCCCCAAGTCTGGGTTTGCAGAAACCTGGGATGATGGGATGATGGACCAGGTAATGGCAGGATGTAGTTTCCTTATCTTCAAGCAGGGGGCATAAAGAGTGAGGCCAGATGTGAGAATAGGGCTCGGCTTCTGCCCAAAAACATTTCAAGAAGCACAAATTCCCTTGTAGCTTACCAGGACCGCCTACATGAAAGGGCAACCACTCAGGGTGTCTCAAGGGGTTTTTAAAGGAACCAGAGGCTGACTCATGCAGAGGTCTTCATGAGTCCAGAATGTGGAGGGAGTACTTTTCCACCAGAATCTCCCACCAAATTTGGGTCCCACCAAACTTTTTAAAGTGGGAGACACTTTACAAACAAAGCAGAAGCTGCCAAATGGTCACCTGTCAGCATTGGGTGGAGACCTATTCAGAGCCCAGAGGCTCTCCTGAATGAGCGGTGGTTGCCAAGCAATTTCGGTGGGGAGACCCCACCGAGTACTGTGGGGAGCCCAGGAGGCTACGTAGGTGCTGTATGTGGTGAAGTTCTCTGGGGGGGCACACTGAGCTCCTCCAGCTTGGCCAAGCTCAGCACCTGCCTGCCCCAAGGAGGGCCACGGAGGGGGTGGGAGGGTTTCCCTGCACAGCAGCCCATTGTGGCTCTCACAGCAATTAGCCACGATTCCTTTAACTGTACCTAAAGTGCAGCACAAAACGCCAGAGCTTGTCCCTAAGCCGCAGCTTGGGGGGACTGTTCTGTGCGAGGCTTCTTGGCTGGAAAAAGAACTTCTAATTTACATGAAATAACAGCTTTCAAACACTTGACTCAGGATATGGAGTGGAAAAGGTGTGGGCTGGATTTAAGAGAACCAGACAGGAAGAACAATAGTGCAGTTGCTGAGCACAAATGATGGAAAAGGCACCCGGATGTGAAGCAAGAGGAGAAGCATGAGAGAGAGACGGGCAGAGAAGAGGGGCTGGAGCACACGGCACGGGAGAAAAGCCAAACCTCTCGGCCTCTGCGCAGGTCTGCAGGACACGACGGCAGAGACACCTGCTGAGCCTCACTCTGATGCTCCCTTGAACGCACAAGTAAAATCAGGAAAAGAAGGCACTGCCTTTTCACCGTTTCCCAGCCTCAGCTTGTTTATAAGGCAGAAAACAATACTGAAAACAGAACAAATGGTCCTTGTCATCATATTTGCCGAACCCTGCGCACACGTTTCGAGCCTATTCGAAAACATCTGGCTGGGTGTATATTACATTAGCACAGAAATGATGAGTACACAAACAATGATTAGCATTAATTTGCTGCAGTTAACGTCCAAAGACATTATAGATTCAATCTGCTGAGGAAACCCCGAGGCATAAAAAGCAAGCCATGAAAGATCTTGAGACAAACCAGCATTTAATACATTTCAATATTTCTAATTGTGAACCCGGTGAAGACAGCAGAGGAGACTGCAGGTGACACCATGTGCTGGCCACATCACCCAAATCTAACCATGGATTAAGATGTTTCTCCAAGGATAATAGGAATTCACAAGCAGGGCAAACAGTCTATTCCCATCCCCCACACCTGGCTCAAAGCTGATTAACCTAATTTTTTAAAAAGAAATATTTTGTTCATAGATTCATTGAAAACTTATGGTAAATTAATGAAAAAAAAATAATGGTAAATTAATGAAACAACCTAGCTGGAATACCAGTCTGACTCCGTTACTGATAACCTAAATCTAGCATCTCCTACTGTACCTTCATGATCTGGCTCCTGCCCACGTGCCTAGCCACTGAGGGGTCTGTCCGTTACCAATCACATACATCTCCCACTCGAGCCATGGTCAACTCCCCCATATGTAGCTCTCCTTCCTGCCCCTGGGTCTTTGCACATGCTGCTCCCTCTGTGCGGAATGACTTTTCCATCCATTTTTGCATCAAGATTCAGGTCAAATTGCAGTCCTTCACTGAAGCTAGCCTTAATAATAGAAGTTAAACCTTCCAAATGGAAACACAGTTACGAAAAACACAAGAGCTCACAACTGTGGAATAATAAGCTACAAGCCAGGAAACTTCTGCTTTCAAGACAAGTAAAATAATAATAATAATAATAACAATAACAACAACAACAACAACAACGGCGGCAGCAGCAGCAGCTACCAGACACTTTAAATATTTAATCACTGATTTTTATAACAACCCTGCAAATTAGGTTGAGGGTTAAGTAATTTGCTCAAGTTCGCACCACTAGTGATTGTTAGAACAGAAATTTAAACCTAAATCTGTATGATTCCAAAGCACTTAATAAGATACACAGAATAATTTAAAATCTAACTATACTACTGACACTAATGAAGATATATAGCATTTTTAACCCATTGCCAAATATTTAAAGCCCTAAAATGTGCAAAGTTCTGTGTTAGATGCTATGTGGAATATAAAATGGTATAAAATATAGTCTCTTGCCCTCAAAGAACTTCTGGTCTAATCAGAAGAAAAGACCTGGTCACCAACAGTAGGCAGGATTTCTAGTTTAGGATCAAGCTATAGCCATGCAACCTGAGTAGGGCTGTAGGAGAGCTGGAGTTTGGGCTGCTGAGGTATATATTGCTCCTAGGAATACCATATAGAGTTCTTTAAATGATCACATTTGTGTGCGTGTTTTTTGTGATTTGCCTTTCACCCGAAAGTCTGGTGCATATAATATTCTAGCTATTTGAAAAACCCAATTAGTCAAGGTATTACTTTTCATTAATACTAATAGCACTAAAGTTTTACTTTGTTTTTGGAATCTTTTAAGAATCCCAAGTGTTTTAGTCTGTCTGTTTTGTGTTGCTATAACAGAAATACCTTAGACTGAGTAATTTATAAGGAAAAGAGGTTTATTTGGCTTATGATTCTGGGACAGCTGCATCTGACACGGACCTCAGGCTGCTTCTACTCATGGCGGAAACTGGCAGGCAGCTGGTGGGTACAAGCAGATCATATGGCGAGAGGAAGCAAGAGAGAGAGGGGGGAGAGGGAGAGAGAGAGAGAGAGAGGGGGAGGGAGAGAGAGAGAGGAGGTGCCAGGGTCCTTTAAACAATCAGCTCTCCAGGGAACTAATAGAGCGAGAACTCGCTCACTAATCCCTCCTCCCCCAGGGAGAGCATTAATCCATTCATGAGGGATCCGCCCCCATGACTCAATCAGTTTCCAACACTGCCACATTGGAGATCAAATTTCCACATGAGTTTTGGAGGGGACAACACATCCAGACTCCATACCAAGATAACTCCTGAAATAACAACTATTAGAAAGAAGACATGGCCGCCCCCAGTGAAGGGGACATATGGCA